GAATAGAATAGAATAGAATAGAATAGAATAGAATAGAATAGAATAGAATAGAATTCTTTATTAGCCAAGTGTGATTTGACTCACAAATGCGTCAAATGTTTGGTGCAAATGCTTTCAGTGTACATAGAAGAAAAGATACATTCGTCAAGAGTCAAGAATCATCAGGTACATACATCTTATGAAGTTTCTTATGATGTTCACACATCTTATGAAATTAAAATATAGATCCTTTGATTTCTGCATTAACGTATGAGCCTAAACATTTTTAAAACTACAAATAACGATTCAACATTAATAGGTGGGCCCAGCCATCATGGTTTAAAACAAATTAAAGTTTCTCATAATATCCAACTTGAGCCTTGACCTTCATTCACTGCTGCAGCTGAAGTTGAGAATTACTAGAGCAAAATTGGCCTCCAAGGAGTCCCTTTGTTTCTCTCTCCTTTCAAAGCTGACTATTTTTTTTTAAAGTTTAAATATCACTTGACCAAAAAGGTTTTCCTTCCTGTTCCCAAGATATTTGTGGATCAAATGGTCAAGAGGTGTATTGAGTGAATAATCTTGAAGAATTCAGAAGCAGTGGGGTTCAAACTCCTTCAGAGTTTAAGATCTTTAAGACCCTTTGCAAAGCAAAGAAAAGATTTAGTGAAGTATACACATTTTTTTTTCAAGTGCTGAAAGTACCTCCTGGACCTTTAGAGAGTTCAGGAAGTAATATTTATCTTAAACAAAGATCACAGAAGTGTGTTTGTGTGGTAAAAAGGAAAGGAAACATTGCTTTCTGAATATGATTTTTTTTTTTGCCCTCTGCTACATCATCTTCGATGCAACTTAGCGTGGAGTTCTCAGAATTCAATATTTCTTTATTTTGGAACATTTTAAAATTCACACTATCCCTGATTTAGTTCTTTTATGTATTTGTTTAGATCTGGGAGAAAGACTTATTTCATCCAACTTATTTTATGACACTCCAGAAAGATTGCAGAGAAGAGCAACCAAGATGATTAGAGGATTGGAGGCTAAAACATTTGATGAACAGTTGCAGGAATTGGGCATGGCTAGTCTAGTGAAGAGAAGGACCAGGGGAGACA